GACGAAATTTTAGCGATTTTTTTTGTGAAAAAGTTTAACGAAAATGTTTCCATCGAAAATTTTGGCCGAAATTTGAATTCTGTAAAGAATTTTAATGAAATTTTTTCCGTCAAAAAATTTCGACGGAAATGTGTTTCGTCGAAATTTTTGATGAATATGTTTTTTTGTGAAATATTTTGACGAAATTTAGATTCCGTAAAAAAATTTGCCGTCAAATTTTTTTACAAAAATGTTTTTAGTCACAAATTTTGATGAAAATATTTTTCATGAACAAATTTTGCAAAAAATTTTGATGGAAATATTTTTCGTCAAAAATTTTGACGTAATTGTTTTATGTTAAAACTTTTCTTTTAATGTAATTGTGATTTTTTTTTTCACATAATAGATGTGGGTCAAGTTTTGGGTCAATGGGTCATTATTAAAACAAGTCAGGTCTAAAACTGACCCAAATAAAAGGGGATCAGTATTTATGCTTAGTTCAAAAAATAGGTATTTATGAGTCATGTCAATGTGAGATCAAGAGCAGAGCAAGTGAATTAGTTTTTCTGCACATCCCTAATTTAAGTTACAAAGCGATATAGAAAACATAAAAAGCAAAGAAACATCATAACAAACCAAGTTTGATACAAGTTGTGCTCGCAAGCTTTGATAATCATATAATACAATTAATTCAACCTAATAACATTACTTTAAATTATTAAGTAAAATTTACATTAATAATTTTATATTTTATATTATATTTCACCAACAGAAATTTTTCACTAAGCTATAATTCTGCTAAGTCTTATTTTTGGTTTCAGGATTTTTCCTTTCACCAACATAGAAATTGTTAAGATGTGCTCGCAAACCTGAATTTTTTTGTTGAATTTGGGTATTGGCGGCACTCTTCAGCATTTCGAGTCCAAATGCTTAAAATGGACGGGCCCAAAGCCCAAATATGAAGAATTGTGTCCTCTTTTTTCATTCAAATGTTACTTTTCTGAGTAAATTATGTATAACTAATAAAATGTCTTCATTCAATACTTTCAAACGCGGGTGGAGTTAGCGATCGAGGTGACTACGAGTGCAAATGGGCTACGACAGCTTACAGAGACTTACGGTCTAGTCTATATTAGATCAGGTTTGACCTATTATAAATAATAAAATAAAACAAGCCTAAACTTTTAAGAAAATCTATTTCGAAAATAGGTCATAGGCTTTTTTGTACATGTCGGACCTATTAACCTACAGGACGGCCTATATTATATTATTTATTTTTTAAAAATAAATAAAATTATTATTTTAATTATTTTGAATAATAAAGTAATATTATTTTAGTTATTCTTTTAATTGTTGAATGTTTAATAGGTTTAAACAAGCTAATAGTCCTAGGTCAAAGCTTTTATTTTTTAAATATAGGTCAGCTCAGACTTGTATTTTGAGACCTACACAGACTAACAGACTAGGCCAAATTAAATATTTTTTACACAAGCCTGGCCTATTTAAGTCAAAGCGTAGTGTAGTATAGCTTATTTACACCACATTCATCTCACATAAACTTAATTTCAGCCTAAAGTGACGATGTTGAAGATCGAACTCCATGTTCAATTTGATTGTAATATCATACTAAATATTCATTTTACTTAATAACTTAAGCTGTTAAGTGAGAAACAGTAACCTTGTTAAAATCTTTTAGAATGCATTAAGACATAAAAAAAGGTTATATAGCACTGCTGTCTTTCGACTTTTATTATTATGGGAAATGTAAAGATAATGTTATAGGAGCTACTTGCAGACACAATAAAATCATGGCGGCACAAGTTTTTTCTTTTATTTTCTTTTTTTATCTCATTTTCTCTCTCTCTCCTTTGCTTAGTCTGGAGGAGATTTACCAGCAACGTAATACAAACATAACCCTATTTTTATATAAAGAAAACTTAAAAGTTATTGAAATCTGTTTACGTATCAAACCATTGTAATGTTGCTCGGTCTAAGCTAATGTGAATTCTGTTTTCCTCCATTGCTTATAAAGATAACCACTGCTCACAGTCTCTCTACTGTCAACTTCCTAAGTAATTTTCAAAATAATCAAATTATAATTAATTGAAAATATAACAAAATAACATGAAATGTTGACGAATGGAATCATTACCATCTCATGCCGTTTCCTTTCTAACGGCTTATATCCACTAGCTAGTGGTACAGCTAACTGCTTCTCCCGGGTTTGTTCATTTTGTTTGCACATTTTCTGCATTTATAAAACAACAATGTATTTAATACGAAACCATTGTATTGTACATGATATAACACGCATTTACCTACCACTATTTTTGGATGCAAACGCTTTTGAATAAATCGAGTCCACTACTGATCCTGATCAATATCAAGTGGTGGATTTGAAAAGTTCTCTTCTTTGCTGATATTTTGGATAATACCATCCACGAAAAAAATCTGATCTGTTATTATGTGTTATCCTTTCATTTTTCCTCTTCCTTTTTATGAATGATGGTGTTCTTCACTAAATCGTCATCTAGAATAAATTTCTCCTTTAAAAGCACAAGCAATATCAGTGATAAGATTGCAGGTTTTATAAATGCAGAACAAACAATAGGAATTTTACAACAAGATTAGTCATCATACGATTCCACCGAGATTAGATTTACCTTTAATGTGTTGTTATACACCTTTTTCCTTATAGCTGCTAGGAACTTTAATTTGACCAAGACAAATAACGAATATGAAAAGCAGAAAAATTAAATGCTAATTGTTCTAAAACTTGTCCCAAGAGGCCATTTGGGTAAGGAAGATACTTTGCACTGAGATGTCATGTGGATCGCCACAGAAAAATATTGTTGTATGTAATTTATATTGGGTGAATCAGGACAAATCGTTGTCTCCTTTCTTTCTTTCTTCACTTCTCTCTTTTTGTTTTACGATTGCGCGTGTAATTGTTGGTCCCAACATATTTCACCAATTGGCCGATTGTAATCAACCATAGATTCTTCAATTTCAAATGTGGTGCTTTTGTAACCACCAGACCTATGCTATATCTTAGTCATTATTATGATATTACTTGATACTATTTCCTACTCATTGTCTTCGGCATGTTCCCTATACTTATAGGGTAACATTCATACTTCACTCCACTTGTCCTTCTTAAATAAATCATCCAATTCAATATTTACAATTTTATGCATCCTGAGTCCTGAATTTCAATTTCCCTATTGAATCATCAATCAATCTTGTTTCTCACTTTCTTTGTTTTTGCTAGCTAAGACTTGCTACGGATTCAAAAAGATTACATACTAGCACATTAAAGAAAGCGCTTGACAGCTCATGTGTAATTTGTACATATGCTAAATGTATCTCAATCACAACCTGTGCCTTTTTCTTGAAACGTCGATTTCACGTTAAAAAATATCAGTGAATCTACGAGTCACGAAACGGGTCACTCTTGGTAACATCTCAAAGACACGACCAATATGAACAAAAACGCTATGACAATGATAGTGACATCAATGACACACCCTTATTGGCTCTGGTATGGAATGAATGTCCACTGCTGATTGGTCAATGAGAAACTTATCCTTAGCTGCAGTTTGAGCATCCAACAAAATTTTTGTGTAAGAATAAGGTGGGACCAATAGAAAATGCTAGTCACTGCAAGAGACAAAAAAAGTTAACAAAACCCTTTTTATGGTTTCACCTCGTTTAGTTAAAACAAGGTTCCCTACAAGATAGGGAATTTGAGATAACCACAAATATAAATGCCCTTACTTTTAGCAAGACTTGCAGAGGGGGTCCTTCTAGCTGTCAAAATGTCTTCTTATGCCCGTAATTTCTTGCTCAATCCATGTGCTCTTGGACCACTACCCTCATTTTCTGTACCTTTTTTCCACCCTCAAATTCCATCAAGAATTTTATTGAAATATCCACAAACTAGCAATAGGAGTAACACTAGGAAAAGCATGGGCTTCTATCTGAGATTCAATGGTTAGCATTTTATAAATAATGATTATCGAGTATTAACTAATCACATTTGTAATGCTTGAATTATGATTCTATGGGCTGTCCAAAAAAGACATTGCTATAATGATTAGGAAAATACCAATGTAATTTACTCTGATATCAATAGAGGCTGTTTAATAGGTGTGCATTCCTCAGTTTACACTACTATAACTTGAATTGGTATAAGCTAAATCAAAAACTGCTGTGTAACAATAAAGCAAGTTGGGCCTAAACATGTTTTCATTTTAGCATAAGATTTATACCAGTAAATTGATTATTACACTCACATTCATTGATGTTGTCATTTCACCTATTTGTTCACTCCTTCAGGACACAAAGTTGAAATGAGGAAACATAACACCGTACTCAAAAACCACTTCTTATTAAATCCTGACTAGCGAGGATCGGGTGAGAACAATACTTATACGTAGTCTTACTCTCGTATATATGTAAAGAGGCTATTTCCTATACTCAATGGAACTTAATTAGTTATAAGTTAAAAATAGGCTGTAGATAATGAATGGCATAAGAATAAAATGCAATTGTGAACATTATTTTTTATGACTATATATACCCAAAGAGGTTATAAAAGCAATCTTTTAATTCTCAATTCCATCTATACATGTTCCTCCATTACTAAGTTCTGCATGTACATGGTTAATTGACTGATATCAATTCCAACAATCACGCTAGAAAATTTAACAGGTAACATGAAGAAACAATATCTTTTGAGCATAAGAAGATGCGCAGAAGATCCTGTTTTTTCTCAATTCAAACGAAAAGATGCTTCTTGTTGTTATCCAGGAAAAAAAATTGACATTCACGTGCACCAATCTTAGCTCAAAATCTGTCGTTTCCAAGCATAGGTAAGAAAAATCTAACCATGACTTTAATTAACCACATAAAAGCAACTCAATGTCTATGGTAAAAAGATATATATCCACCCACCCACTTATATATATATGATGGAACTAAACACCCTCCTTAGATATACTACTTCACTGGTAATTTGAACAAACATAGGAACCTATCTATAACAAATGAAGATGATTCTAATTATCTTCTTCATTTTTTCTCTTCTGTCCCTCTCCAATGCTTCTGTACTAGATTTCTGTGTTGCTGATTACACAGCACCTAATGGCCCTGCAGGATATTCATGCAAGAAGCCTGCAAAGGTCACTGTGGATGATTTTGTTTACACTGGCCTTGGAAATCCAGGTAACACCTCAAATATAATCAAAGCTTCTGTGTTACCGGCATTTGATGCACAGTATCCTGGTGTGAATGGCCTTGGAATTTCTGTGGCACGTTTAGACTTAGCAAAGGGTGGAGTTATACCACTTCATACACATCCTGGAGCATCAGAGTTACTTGTTGTTGTGCAAGGAACAATCTGTGCTGGGTTTGTTTCATCTGATAACTCTGTTTACCTTAAAACTCTTAAAAAGGGTGACATTATGGTGTTCCCACAAGGCTTATTGCACTTCCAAATTAATGGAGGTGGTACTCCTGCTCTGGCATTTGTGAGCTTCGGTAGTGCAAATCCTGGTCTTCAAATTCTGGACTTTGCTTTGTTCAAAAGTAATTTTCCAACTGAATTGATCACAGCAACCACTTTCCTTGACGCTGCTCAGGTTAAGAAGCTTAAGGGTGTTCTTGGAGGCTCAGGTTAAAACTCATGAAAGAGACAGGACACAAGGGGAATGATGTCTCATTTTGTTAAATTTATTAATTTCTCGCGTGTGTGTGTGGTTTTCGTTTTGGGTTTAGCATGCATGCAAACGTGTAATTTTCTTGTTCTTCTTCTTCTTCTTTAGCTGGCATTGTTAACTGCATCAGTTATCTGGTTTTTGTTGTATTGTTTCTTGTTGTCAAGTTTCTTTTAACGTGCAGATAATGTCTTACTTTAGAAAATTGTGCTACGAGATGAATAAATATGTGGTATTTTCTTGAACATCTTATTTTATTTTTCTTTTTCTTTTTCTTTTTTGTGTGTGTGTACATCTCATAAAAATATTGTATAGAAAAGAAAAATAAAATGAAATTGCGAATGTTTTAACTCTAGCTTATTAAGCCCTAAGAGGAGGAATCGCTACTCACTTTAAATGTAAAGGTTAAAATTGCCATTTGCTTTAATTCTGACGGATTTGAAAGTTGAAACTCTCACTAAGTCTATCTGTTGAGGTCGGTACTGTAATAAAATAACTTTTAGAATTGTATTTAAAAACCTTTTTTTTCATGTGGTGACAAATTTTTAATCTTCTATCTGTATGTGACATAATATCTCTCCATTGAATTATTCATTAAATTTTAATTTAATATATATATATATATATATATATATATATATATATATATACTTTATTTATTACAAATAAATAAAAAATTATACAAAAAGATCAGCAGAGAGCACGTGGTCTTCTTGCCCAAAATACATGGTTTGTGAGGAGTGAAAGGTATCCAATCTTTCATCAATGACAACCCAAACGAGTGAAACGACAACATGGACCAAATATGCAATGACAATGAATGGTTCTGCATCATCTTGTAAACTCTATTTGGATAAGATCTCGTCGGTATTACCACCCAATGAGCAACTAAACCCACAATTCTACTTGAACATGAAGGGCAACTACATATGGAGTCTAGCACGAATGTGAAATTAGAAATAGCTCACAATCATATTGTAAAATTATCTTTTACCTACGTATAAAAATATATGTGATTTTTTTTATTCTCTCTCCTCTCTTTTTATGGCTCTAGGCTCCACACATTTTTTTTGTGTAACAAATAAAATTATGTCCTCAAACACTAATTCTACTAACGAAATGAATTAGTGATGAAAAATGAATAATTTATGGGATTTATTATTCTTATGTTACATAAAAAAGAATCTATCTCCTGTACACACAAATTTAAGATGAGCCTAACTTTACTTTTTATCCCTCTCCCTTTGAAAGTGGACCAGATCTGCATAAATGAGTATGTAAGAGATTAGTTATCTCCTATTGCATGAGAAAACTATTACTTATAATTATTTATAAGGGAAAGTTATATTTACAAATTTTTTTGTTTACAAACTACGCTATGTACTCCCAAAGAAGTACACTGGGTTAATAATGTACTTCCGGAAATACATAGAGTAATTTGTAAAAGTTTATAAAAAATAAGTTATAAATAGATCTTTCCCCTTATTTATATGAGGTTATAAAGTTAAACCTTATTATGTGTATTAAAAAATGAATTATCTAAGAGTTGTTCTTTTAGTGTGTTCTTAACACTAGAATTTTAGTGGGTTCGATTTTTGAAAATCATAGAGTGAAAAAAATTCAAAAAGAGCGTTATTCTTACAACTTAAAAGTTTTACAACTTCTTACGATCTATTTTTTCACAGTTGATTTCTGTCAATCTAACAGTTATAATTTATTGAGAATTAATAATTAATAATAAATATGATTTAATAAATTAAAACTGTTAGATCCGATAAAAATTAACGGTGAAAAAATAAGTTATAAAAGACTATAAAACTTCTAGATATTATATATAACGCTCCTCAAAATTCAAATCCGAAATTTGTGTGTTAAATTTCTTAGGATTTCGGACATTAACAACCATGGCACCAAAACTTCATGGCAGGACCAAACAAAACATGGCCCAATGGATTTGCACTTGAGAATGAGGTGAAGATCATAGGACCAGATACCATGTGGAGGTTAAATACCCAAGTGTCAGGTTAATGGACCAATTGCGGAACTTGGAGCTTCAGGTTCATCATGTGAGCATGTCCCACCTTAATGAGTTTATGTTTAAAGATGTTATACTATCAAATCTTATACTATCAGATCTTATACTATACTATGCAGTAAATATGTCATTTACTGTGTTAATGACCATGTATTTTAAGAAAGGACATGGCGATGCTTTGCACGTGATCCGTTGATCGTTTTAATAATTGTTTCTTATTTATTTTGTAAATAATAAAATATAGGGTAAATTATAGTCTCATTTATGTTGATATGTTCAAATTGCACCGTGCTTCTTAGTTACTTTCTCTTTGAGGGATTAATATATTCAACACTTTAGTTTATTTTAACGTGAGCGAGTCTTTCAGGAATATTTTTTCTTTTTCTTTTTTTTCTTTTATAACTCTCATCATTGTTAATTTTTTATTTTAAACGTATACTATCCATTATAGAACTTTAGAAGATAAAAGGAAGATTGTGGAACTCTTGTAATTAAACTTACGAAAAAAAAAACTAGTAATCTTGAGAGAGGAAAAACCACCAAATCTACATACAAAATCTTTGGTATATATTATAAATTATTGTATTGAGCTCAAAATAATGTCATTTTGAGAGAAAATTAAGATATTTTTGTAATTATAGTTTATTAATTTATAAGATTATAATAATTTTTATCATTACGATTTTTAATCTTTTACTCTCAACGATGTCATAATATTGAGAATGAATGTAAATAACTTATCTGTATTCACTATAAAAATATTAAGGGGGCGTTTGGTACGCAATATTCTCTGGGATTCCTGGAAAACTGAATTTTTTTCTAAATTTTTAATTTTCGGATATTATCATAAACTGAATGTAAAAATCATATTTTTAAAAATCGAGATTCCGGGATAAAAAAAAAGTTTCTCCTCTACCAAACGCCCCTTAAAGTTAGGGCTGGCAATATGGGCTGGCCCGCCCCCGGCCCGCCACTGACCCGCCGAATATGGGCCAGCCCGCCCCAACCCGTTTTGACAAAATGGGCTGAATTGAGCAACTCGTCTCGTTTTATGAGTGGGCTGACGGGCTACGGGCCAACCCGCCTAAAATAAAAAAATTCATAAAAAATAAAATTCTGCATAAAAAATTCCTAAAAAGATAAAAAAAAATTCATAAAAAAATCTGCATAAAATCCTAATGTGCATATGAAAGTCCAACAAAAAATCTAAGGGTATATATGAGAAACCATAAGGAACAAAATAAAAATCAAACTCAAATACATTACTCTATTTGAATAATAAAAATTAGTTGGATACCAAAAAAAAAAAATTAGTTACATTCAGCGGTGACCATTCTTGCAAAAGTAACGAGGTGCTTTTCGGTCAAACAAGAATAGTGATCCAGCTGGAAAAAAGCAATAGCAATTAGCAAATAATGTCAAAGATTTCTAGAATCAAAGAAAAACTTTTTGGTGTACAACGCTTTCATGTGGGTCAGTGGACAGTGGGGGCCTGATTGTTTGCGTGTAAGAAGAAAATGTTTTGATAATTTGATCTTATATGATTTGAGTAATATAAAAAAAAACGGGTTTGTCGGGTTAGCCCGCTCCAGTGGCGGACCGAGCCCGGCGGGCTGATGGGTTTGGCGGGGCGAGTTTGGCGGGATGGTGGGTTAAAAAACTCAACCCACCCCACCCCATTTGGCAGGCGGGACGGGCCAGCCCGGCGGGCTCAGCCCGTTTTGCCAGCCCTACTTAAAGTCATATAATAGTAAATATCCCATTAGTACTAGTAATTTTAAATTCAAATAAAATATAAATAAAAAATAAAATATTTAAGAATTTTTTTAACAATTATAAAGGAGATATACATAGCTAATTCGAGTACAAGCTATACAATATAAATATAAAATATATTTAAAATCATAAAGAAAATATGTATAATTAATTTAAAATTTAAAAAATTAAGAATAACACGTATTATTCTTTTAATTGGTAATATATTTAACTATTATCAAATGAATAATTTCAACTTGGTACATAAAAGTAAATATTAGATACTAAATTATATTAAATGGGATTAGAAAATGAATAAAAATAAAAAGATGGCGCCGGAATTTCCATAAAGAAATTAAAAATCTTATTATCAATTAAAAAATATATATATTATGATTCTTCTTATTCTTCATTACAAATAATAACCAAATAATTAGTTGGCATCAAGCTGTAAATGATTGGATGACAGAGGAACCTTCAGCATATTTCAGTATTATAATATGGAACCCAATTCAACTAAATCGAGAAGATATGAATTAAGAAAGTTGCCAAATTAACCAAGAAATTGTGTCATTTTCTCTCTCTCGTGGTATGTGATGTCAAAATTGTTTAACATGACGATAATCTTAAATAGTAAGCATAAAATTTATACCAAAAAAAAATAGTAAGTATAAAAAATTATGACAACTAGCATCATTCCTGTAACTTTAACACGGAATCTTTTATATTTATTAATATACTTTTGGAGGAACATTTAAGCCCACCACCACCATAAATTTTTTATTTTTTTTTAAAGGATATCTCATTTATATTCTTCCATTCATCATTAAATTTATGTCTAAATTCATATACAATTATTCTTATCTTTTTAACATTATATGACATTCTTAAAATTAAAAGAAAGAAAGAGAAATAGGACGAGAATATATGCCCAAAAAAAGAAAGAATAAGAAAAAGCAAATTAGAATGAGAATGAAAGAAAAAAAAAAAAAAAAGTATCAGGCAGAGCCAGGTAAGCATAGTGCAAATGGAGTTCTTGCATTTCTCTCTCTACTGCTGGAAGAGAGAGAAAGTGAGAGAGAGACGGAGGAAATGACAGACTGGCAATAGGGAGGTTAAGGATTCTCTGTCTCTGTGTCTCTATGTATATATATATACACATTTTTTTTTTTTGGACAATCTTCAATTTTTGGCTTTTGTGATTTTGATAATAGGAGCCTTTGGAATTTGGATCTTCAAGAAAGAGAGACACTTTGGATTTGGGCGCCATGAGTCTCTTCGGTCTTGGAAGCAGGTAACCTCTTTCAAATTTCTTTCATTTTCTTCTGTTTCATCTTTTCATTATTTATTTTGTGTTTTATTAATTATATTTATAATTTTTTTTTAAAAAAATTTATCTGTGTTTGTTGTTTTATCCATTTGAAGATGGACTGGGATTTTGATTTTGAGGCTGCCCCCTTGATTTTTTTTTAAATAAATAAATAAATAATTTATAATTTTATCCCTTTTATTTAATCTTAGAGTTTTTTCTTATTCTCTTTGCACCTATTATCTTTCATGTTCTGTTAAATGGGATGGCTGATCATAGAACTATAAAAGACACGATGATTACCCGTGTTGATAATATGGCTGTGTTATCTGTATGCTTCAATTTGATGATTACTTTGTGTGATAGAAATGTGAATTGGTTTCTTTGTGAAGCTGCTAATTGGAATTAATCAGGAGATTCAGGCAAGAGAGAACTCAAATAGAAATCTATATTATGTTAATGTTTTTAAACTGGGTTTGATATTACTATTAGGTTCTGTTGTGCTGAGAATGTTATTTTGGGGATTTGAATGATACTTTTGGATGGGTAGTTTTGTGATTTGCCATGTATGCTTGTGTGATTCTCAGTTGGTCATATACTTGTCTTGGTATTACAAATTTACAATGATGCTTTTGTTGAGTTTTAGCTCAAAAATGTTAAATGATGAATATTTTGTCATCAAAATTAGACTGTACTGTTGACGTTTTTCAAAAATTAAATTTTGGTTATGACAATTAAAAAATGTGTAAAATTGGACATAAAAGCTACATCTCTTAATGTCATAAGCATGTAAAGCTGTCTTCAACAATAACCATTTTAAAACTATGGCTGACAAAATTTGAAGCACTACAGATATCATTTATACGGTATAAATCATTAGTAGAAGCATCTATACGAGCCATATTGCTCCAATCTGCAATTTTCTCCCTGCAACCTTTTTCTTAAGGAAAATGAATTGTTTGATTTGATTATTCGCACTTATTTTTTTTAAGTCATAGTATGGTACACTTTTGTTTTATTTCTGTTGATAACTTCTCAATCATCCATGTAGAAACCAAAAAACATTTCGTCCAAAAAAGAGCGCCCCATCTGGAAGTAAGGTTGGTCTTTTTACTTCTTGTGGAGTGGTTACTGGATTCTTTTCTACTTTTTTGTTTATGGTTTATATTTGAAGTTGAGCCTTAATCTATATATATTGTTTATGGAATGTAGGGTGCTCAACTTCAGAAACACATTGATGCTACATTGGGTAGTGGGAACTTGAGGGAAGCTGTTAAACTGCCTCCTGGTGAAGATATTAATGAGTGGCTAGCTGTAAACAGTAAGCATCTTTAATCTCCGAGTTTTTGGCAAATGGTGCTGAATTTTCCAACTATAAACTGTGTTATTCCTCCCCTCTCCCCTCTCTTTCTTTCCATATTCTTGAGAATTATTTTTCTTAAGTCTTAACCTCTTCTTTGTAGTTGATTGGTGTTGCATGTAAATTTCCACATTTACCCAGCCTGGTGTATAACTTCATAGTCATTAATAAATGATATTTTACTGCAAAATTGCTTATAAATTTTTTTGCACATTGGCATTTATTTTTTAATTTTATGTGCAGCTGTGGACTTCTTTAATCAAGTGAATATCCTGTTTGGTACGCTTACAGAATTCTGCACGCCACATAACTGTCCTACAATGACTGCGGGGCCAAAGTATTGTTTGATCCTTCAACCAACTCTTCTTATTTTTGTTTCATATTCTTTTGCAGCTAGATCAGATTAGCTGTGTCTTCTCTCTTTTTGGCTTGTCTGCGATGTATTTTCAACGAATGGCTTTAGGAACTTGTAACTTCTTATATCAGGTGTTATTGATCCATGATTTTAGTGCATATGATGTACGTATATGATAAGCCCAGCTTGGCTGCCAAAAGTATTTACTTAGTTTAGTGTCTGTTAATAGTTCAACCATTTTTATTGGGGTTGACATCAAACAGATATTTCCATATTGGAGTTAAGGGTGCTGTGTCAATTATTTTTTGCTCCTCATTGGGCTAAAGTACACCATGTCCATTAATTAATGCACCTAGATAATAGCTGGAGGAATGGGCAAATTTTTGTATCTTAGAGTGTTGGAGGAATGGGTTTTGTCAGAAACTTCTATTAACATGAGACAATGTGGGTGCTGAGTTTATGTAGGAGATTTTGGTTTTGAACATCTACGGTAGAAGCTGTGTGCATTTTTAGTAGCTAAAGATTATTCAAGATTATGAATATATCATGTGCTTTGAGAGTAGCAGAAGTAATTTCAACTGTAAAACTGGGAAAATCTATTCTACACAGAACATTGTGAATGCCCATTCCACATTTTCTATGCCAATTTTCCTTTGGCTTTTAATGTTCAGTTAGTCAATTGTCCTGAGCTTTATATTCTTAAATGGACTAGTTAAATCATTATAAACAACATTAAACATATATATGAGACAAGTATTTTTTGTAAACTGTACAGGTACGAGTATAGATGGGCTGACGGTGTTACTATCAAGAAACCAATAGAGGTATCTGCTCCTAAGTATGTTGAGTATTTGATGGATTGGATTGAATCTCAGCTAGATGATGAAACAATTTTCCCTCAAAAGTTAGGTATGTTTGATATATTGATAAATCTAGTGAGCACTGTTTATTCATAGCACTGTTTTAATCCATTGCTGCATTGTTGCAGGGGCTCCCTTTCCGCCCAATTTTCGAGATGTTGTCAAGACAATTTTCAAGCGATTATTCCGTGTATATGCTCATATTTATCACTCACATTTTCAGAAGATAGTGAGTTTGAAGGAAGAAGCTCACCTGAACACTTGCTTCAAGCATTTTGTTTTATTTACTTGGGTAAGTGGTTATAAAGATATAGAGTTAATTGATTCATTTGGGTTTTTTTTTTTTATTCTCTCTTTTGGTTCTGGGGCATTTTTTGGGCCAAAGGAGAGGACATGTGATTATTTTTAGTGCTGTGCAAAATAACTGAATCGAACTGAACGGAACCAAACCAGTTTAAAAATTAATCGAACAAAAAGAATTAGTTTGGAAAACAGGTTCAGAATTGATTCAAAACCGATTCACAATCGGTTCAGAACCGGTTTGAAACCAGCTCAAAACTAATTTGTATATTTGAACCGGTTATAAATCATAAATTAGTTTAAACCAGTTCGGTTTGGTTCAGATAAAAAAACTATTCGGGTCGAACCATGCCCACCCCTAATTATTTTCCTATTGAATTTACTGGTTGAGATGCTATCTTGTGTTTGCAGGAATTCCGTCTGATCGACAAAGCAGAGCTGGCGCCTCTTGAGGACCTCGTTGAATCTATTATATAGTCTCATAGTGGTGTTGTTCTTCCATTCCTTTCCCATCTCTGCCTTTCTTTTTGGGGGAGGATAGATACTGGAATATTGGGTATACATTTTTGTGCGCTTATCTTATACTTGTACAATACTTGCTAAATAAAAAATCCTTAGCCACCCCTTGTATTTGTCTCTCCATTGTTGTGACGGCTGCTCAATAATCTTGTAAATCAAGCTAAACCTCCTTCTGTGGCAAGCTAAGTAATAGATGAATTGAAAATTTATCAATGTTTATGACAATTTCGAACTTCTTGTTTGCAACCAGATCGTGTGGATAAATATTTGGAGTAATTTCTTGAGTATAACTTATCAATATAAAGATAAACAGAGTTACAAGGTTCTTTTACTCATAAAGGAGATTTTAACTAGTTTAGAAAATTACTAAACAAGTACTAGAACTAAATAATGGTTGGTTTACGGAAAATGCTAGTAAACAATAATTGATTTTTGATAATGAGTTGATATGCTTAATGGCTTTCGGATGGAACAGTAAGTGAATTTATTTTTCTTAAGAAAAATTATGTATAACATTATGTCTTTATTAGTTATTAGGCCATTAAGGGCCTTTTGATGATTGCAATGCAAATTTCAAAACTATTTAAGTTTTTGGATAAATTATTTATTATTGTAATGCGAAAAGCCGTACACCTTAGGCAGTGTACTTTAAGATGCGCATGGATGAGAGCCACATCTTATGTGAGCGACAAAAAGAGACGTGCACATCATTGCACCGCGTCTAAAATGCTCATGGAGGACTAGCATTCGTGGTCAATATGTTGTTGTTGCTTGTTGGAGGACAACACCATAATGGTACTTGTCGAATGCTGGTAGAGTCCAAAAAAAAAAGCTCATGGAGGAAAGACATGTTTTAGCAAAGATGCGCACGCATGGCTGCCGCGTCTAGACACGTTACTACCTTGCGCATATCGTAGGGGTTGGAGTGAATTTTCATTCTCATCTTCTCTTTGTTTATGATGAATGGCTAAACCCACAAGAGATCGGGTGAATTTTGGTAACTTGCTTTGCAAAAAACATTTGCCCCTTAACTCGAAATCAATCAAATCAATGGAAATTTATCAACAACAAAACATAAACCTTATATAGCCTTAAAACAGAATTGAATCAGAGTCTAAAAACTAGAAAAAAACATAATCAAATGTGGAAATTAAAGAGTATAAAGAATAGAAGATCAAACACTAAGATTTATCCTGGTTCACCCTCAATCCACACGAGGACTACATCCCGACTATTGTCGATCATCCATTATCCTCAGAACTTTCAACTGGTGTCTGAAAAATCGAAATACAATGGAGTTTTACAAAAAATTTGACCAATCGTGTTCACTCTATCAACTTACACACCTTTGGGATCTCTCCCTTCACCAAAAAACTCGTTCTAGCAACAATTCAATCACAAACATATTAAGAACAACTTTTTCTTAATCTTATAAAACTGAAAAATAATAGAGACAGAGAAGAACAAAAGATTATAGAGTTTTTTTATGCCAAAATGCCTTTAAAATGATGATCACAATGAATTTTGTGTAATATGATATTCTCAAGTGTTATATCATGTAGAAACCCTCTACAAATGTTTCTATAGGAGTCTAATGGATATACTAGTCGTTTACGGTCATTGGATATCAAAACCCTAAATTTTAACTTTCTGTTACATATTTACTTGGGTAAATCTCGAAGGGTTACTTGAGTAAATTATTCATCAACATTTACTCATGTAAGTCACTTATGGTTACTCGGATAAATCGCTTACGCGAGTAATTGTCATGTTTTACTCAGGTAAACTTCATATCAGAATCTACTAATGCAATTTTCAGTCTAACTCAACTCCTTATGGTTTCTAATGATTCCTCACACACGAATGAATATGTGTATCCTCCATATAGCATAATGTCATGTGTGTATGATCAAGTATGCATGATTCCACTACTTAGGTTCCTTAAATGTATGTAATAGTGAACCTAATATGCATAACTTGATAAAAGAGCTCAATAACCTATATTCTTTTTGTTTCCATACCTAATACAATATGTCTAGCTTATTGAGCTTCCGACTTTGCTTATCTTGCTTGGTTTTCAAGTCTTGATTGTCTTCAAGTCTTGATTCCTTTGGTCTTCATTTTGACTTCCAACTATGACTTTAGGGTTGACTTTTGTCCTTTGATTTTCTCCTTGCTTTTTGCATGTTGAAATAGTCTTCTTATGCCATTTGAGACTTGTAGCATTGATTTCTTCATCATTCTTGCATGTTGAGCTTGCTTGTGCTTTGTTATCATCGAAACTTAAGATAATTATCAATTCACACCTTAGGGTTTAACAATCTCCCCCCTTATGATGATGACAAACAGTTAGTTGAGAATTGAGGTTAGTAATACAGAAAATTCAAAATACATATATACTCCCCCTTACTATATGCTTCCCTTCAATGTATGCTCTCTCCTTCACTTAGTCATATTCCATACATTCATACAAGTGATAAGGTATTAGAGCTAAAATCATTTCATTAAAAACATTTTTTCAATTTCAACATATTTCTCCCCTATTTGGCAACATCAAAAAGTACTTAAAACATTAAAGCACACTAAAAATGCAAAAAATCAACTTTTCGTCGAATTAACATTATAATTGCCAATTGTTAATATCAAAAACATGAATAACAAGTCAAATTAACTCAATATCGCCAAATTTTCAGAAATTACATAGATGTCACTCATCTATAAAATGGCTTATATTGATCATTTTACTCGACAATAGCATTGGGTAATTCGTAGTTATTGTAACAGCCCGTTGTACACTGGTATTGTTAACATTAATTATGATATTAAGCGCAGTTACAATCACAACAAATCAATGATAAAAATACGAGTAAACTTTTTCCGATTATTACGCGAGCATTTAAAACCATAAAAAGCGTAATAATTAAAAGCTGTGACCAAAACTGTAAACTCTTGCGAAATACTTATTTAAACTATTCGTGTAACTTACTTTACTTATTATAAGTCACTAAGGGGTTCCCATAAACCCGCTTAGCTAATTTCGCACTTTTACGTTTTCTACCTATTCGAACGTGGTTCGGTATATTCATTCATACTCTCCCAATTTTCTTCGTGTTCGTCTCATATTTTATTATCTTTTAAGGGATCTAATTACCTTTCTAAAGAGTCATCACACGAGTCATTTCGATCTCGTTTGCTCCGGATATCGCCGTTTGAAGTTGGACAAGCAAAACTGTCAACCAACCCCAAAATGGCTCCAAACGTCTCTCACTCCATGAATTACTGCAGAAAATCCACTCATCCAATTGCTCAAAAAATTTTACACCATAAACTATACACCTCAACCTTCAATTTGATATATCGTATGCTTAATTTGACCAAGAAACGAAGCGAGAATAAAATTCCCAAAAACTGCCAGAAACAGCCCCTGTACAGGTGTGTTCTGGGCAGTCCGTCTTCAATGGCTTCCACAGGGCTGCGTACAACCCATAAAATTCTAATATTTTAACACAGTATAGGGGACATCTCAAGCTTCAAAATGGCGTATGGAACTTCCCTATCGGACCTTTTTGGAGGGAGATATGCTTTCTCGAAGTTTGTCTAAAATTTGCCAATTCTACAGAAAATTCACCAAAGTTTCCTTTGTTTTTCCTAAAATCCCTAAATTTGCAAATGATCACTAGTACCTCAAATGTACCTAATAATCCAATGGGTGGCACACACAAGGACCAACAATGCCTTGGGGCACTTACAACCCAACTCAGTTTATATTTATTACACAATATAGCTCACTTTATAATCCTTAACTTGTTTCAATCACCAAAGTTCATTTTCATACAAATTCTCAACATACAAGTAATCATAAACCTAAAATAGGCCTAAAGCTCTTCTATCATAGTACATCATGCATCATTGTTACAATACAACATTTAACTTACATGTTACAATTTACAACTTCAAACTTTAAATTACAACTTACAACTTCATAACTTGAATTTACAACTTAAAACATAAAAACTCAAATAACATATACAACTAGACTTAGGCAAAATGACATGAACAATATGGCTATGAGACTCATCCTACATACACATGAGATGTTCATGCCCTAAGTCTAGCCTAGGCCACATGGCCAACAAAATGCAAAATAGTAAAGGTGCTCCCACTAGTCATCCTACGGGCCTCTTACCCGTTGCTCCAATACCACTGCTACCTCATGAAATAAAGCCCCCAAGACGGGGTGAAATATACGGATATATCTCAGTAACCCAGAGGTTCTGGAGAAAACTCCGCCCAATGATTACTTCGATTCATATAAATAATATAAAACAACATCTATCAAAGCGGGATATAGCAAGGGATTTAGAAAAACTGGAGAATATCGGGATACAAAATAAGACGAAGCGGGATGGTAGCTACCAATACCACGCAATGTCCTCGGCATATATAAGCCTACGAGTCTCATCCAAGGCGTGTTCCAAGAACAACCAACCAAGGTACCCCTCCCATCCGCATACACCCGAGACTTCCTAGTGTGCTCCTACCCGGATTACACACCACGACCCTAGGTCAACTGGAATTCCCTCTCGGAGACCTATCCAGTGGAAGTCTGAAACTGCACGAAGGCTAACTGTCTACTGGCCAGAGACTCGGTACATAAGTACCCTCATAAATGCTACATGAATGCTCATGCTGTTCTACACTACTCATATACACTTCCTACCATCACCCTCAACAGGTGTGGTGGAACACACAAGGGGAACAAGCTCCAGTACCAATAGGTTACCTCAATATGTTACTCCACTTAGCTCCACCGCAGCTTAGGTTCCAAGTTTGTTACTCAACAGAACGTCTACATATAGGACGTTCCCAATTACTCAAGAACTCATACAACACATGCCAATTTACAATTATAAAAACTTTGATCCAACCACTTACCTCACTCCACTTGGTCCAGGACCAAGGGCAATCTTCCGACTCATGGTTCGGGGTTCAAATCGACGTACGACAACCTACAACATCCATGTACGAAGCGTCGGCACACGACAATTCCATCAAAACGCGAAAAACGTCAAAATCTTACACCTACACTAGGTGGTTCAGCCAAACAAGGCATACATCCAAATTTATTTTTCTAAATTTCCTTTCTCATTTTATTACATATCCTTAGGTTGCCAAGAGGCTAATTCAAGTG